CCATCAAATTTCACGTCGTCTATGCTCCTAAATATAAAAATTGAAAAATTGAATCAAATAATCTAAACAGTTAATTCAGAAATTAAGAATTTAAGAAAGGAAAACAATCGGCTGTAAAATGAAATCCAATAGTAACGAGAAAGAGAAGCTGAATTTGTAAAAAGAATTAGGGTCTGAAAGGATAGGTTCGACAGTTTGAAGAAGATAACAGCATGCTTCAGACGTTTAACGATAAATTTGGAAATGAAAATGACAAATTAATGATCGAGAGTAATGAATTAAAGGCCGAATTGATACGTTATTGTCAATATCGAGTTCTGAGAAATATTCCTTCACCAATTATGGACAAAAGATCAGCAACACTGAATGAAACGAATGCTGAAGAAGCAAGAGTAGGAATTTTCTTATGATTTGACAAATTGTAGTTGTTATATAATGCATATGATATTTCATTATAGACCGAGGTGAAAAATCTAATGAAAGGTCAGATACCAGCCAAATATCAACTGGATTATGAAAAGACATTCTTTGAACAATCGACAACTGTTTACGAAAAACTGATTCCAGAATTAAAGAGGCTTATGGATGGAGTTTTTAACCCTTCTGTGACACAACTTTTGAATTGGATCAAAGCTATTCACAAATATAGAAGAGATCAATTGTGAAAATGATAGACTAGAGCATTAGAAAAGGTTGATCGAAGGTTACATGCGAATACTCAGCTTTCTGAAGTGATTATTTATTTAGTTAAATAAAATCTTTTTGTTTCATTTATTTTATACATGCAGTTGTTTGATAATTAATCTGAATAATATTCGACAGAAGAAAAATAGACAAATAAAAATGGCATTTAAATTGTTCGACACGAATGAAGAAAAAGTTTCAAAATTCGACAAAAATGAAGTTTTGTCAATTCTACAAAAAAATGAATGCCATTCGCCTGAATAATCAGATAGCGAAGATGAATATTGAATAAGACAGCAGGGAGAAAAAAATTTTCTACATGTCTATAACCATTTATAGCGTTCAGAAAAGGTAAATACTATTTTATAATATATATTATATATTTATTTAGACAATACTTATTCAACTTCACTTTTTATCTTTGCATTTTTGATAGTTAAAATCGTTGCTTAGAGACGTGTTAGACTACGCATCCGAATAATTTTAGCATATGAAGAAATAACAGGAACGTATCTATAACGATAAGGTATATTTTACTTCAAATAAAACGCTTGAAAATATATCTGAATGGGCAACCAGTCAAAACAAATTTTTATACGAAACAGACTGGACAAATAAAACCAATAAAATTAACCACAATTTCGATGCTGAAATTGATATTAATGATGGCGATAATGATTATCTAATAGACTTTTTAATGGATGAAATACGACCTGAGGACTTCGATGAAGAGAGTGAATCATCCATGATTGCATCTCAAGTAAGTCAAATAATTTATTATTTTTATATTTAAGAACTAATAATTTCTATTATCATATCATGTTTAAAATTAGGGAACTTATTCGACTGACCGAAAAGGAAAAAAAAAATTAATTGAATTAAACGAAAATTATTATTATGGCAATTATTAACCATTTTTTATTATTCGAATTTAATTCAAATATTAATGTTTCATTATATACAATAAATAATATATATATATGTATATCAATTATTATAATTAAATAATACAATATAAATGATTTTATTGCTATATATAATAGTATGTATAAAGTATAATGAAATTAGGTCAAATAACTTATTAATTTACTTTGAATATTTTATTAATGCTAGTCAAATATTCTGTTCGAATATCAGACTATTGACAGCCTAACTACGTCAAAACTATAGACCTTAATTTGATGCAGATTAGATTACCATTAGACCTATATTCAACCTGGTTAAATTTAGGTCTAATGGCTATTTTTTGACTGGTATCAAAATTCTGATTTGTATTAAAAACAAAAAGTTAAAATAATAATACATCATATTATTTATAAAAATTAGATCAATTCAAAAATAACTTATGCAAATTAATAAATATAATACATCAGATAATCAGAGTAGATCAACAATAACAAATCATCATCTCAGTGATAAATAAAAAATCATTATAAAATTATTCGCAAAAAAATTAATAAGCAATTTTAACACAGTTTCAACAAAAATTGGTTAAATTAATAAAAAACAATATGATTTCTCAAAACAATTTCAACAAAATTTTAACAAAATTTTAACATGATCACGAATATTATTTAATCAATACATCAAAATTTCTTATGATTATGATGTCATTTTATTTCATAAAAAGTTATTATTACGTAACTCTTAAATTACTATTCTATTATATGGTCTGGTGCAAAAAGATTGATACACAAAAATCATTACCTAATTTTCTCATCTGATATAAAATCTAATAATTATATCATTTAAGTGTATAAATGATGTGAAAGGTTAGATTGTGTTCGAAGTTTAAATAGCTTACTAACTTCAAACTTTTTTTTTTTCATGGATGATTTAATTAGAGACGGAAGTCCGTTAACTGATAATGAACGAAAAATGGTTTTTAACGTCCATCAACATTTTTTAAAGGTTCGACAATGCCAAAAGCAACATCATGACTTATCATTACACAAGAAAGTTGCTGCGGTTCTTGGTATTGGGGAGGCTACAGTTGCGTGGGTAGTTGCTGAACAAAATAAAAAAACAATGGAGAATTTCAAACACAAAAAATCCTAGGTCAACCAAAAAATACATTTGACCATAATATTCCCAAAATTTTACGAAGTTTTATTATGTCCGCAAACACCTCTGGTATTTCACTTTCAACACAAATATTATGACAAAAGCTTGAAGAAAATGGCTATAAATTATCAAAATGGCAGTTACTTCGTTTACTTCATAAATTGGGATATTATTATGGCCGTGGTGAGCATCAAAATATATTGCATGAATCACCAGCAAATGTTACTTTTTGTAATCGTTATTTACAACATCAGTTTGAAAACTTACAAGGAAATAACAAAGTTCCGACTAGACCAGAAGTTTTTTTGGATGAATCATATTGTCATTTGCATCATACTACAAATTGTACTTGGGTACTAAGTCATGGGGTAGTATATTCACCAGGACGTGATCCCTTAATTGTTATTTTTGGAGCGATAATCTTAATGCATAATGGTAATACTAATAAGCTTTTTAGGGAAGTTGTTCCTAATTCACTTCTTATATGGGATCCATCAATAAAACCACCTTCATCAAGAGGGAGAAACGAGCAAATGCTGATGCCTGGGATAATATTCCTAAAGTTATTCAAAATTCCAATATTGCAGCAGACCATATTGACTATCATGGGAATTTTACAGCTGAAATATTTGAAGATCTTTTTGATAAACTCTGTGCTAATATTAAGGAACGCTATAGGCTAGTAAATATTCATATGGATGATGCTCAGTATCACAAACGTCAAGTTGAACAAGTGCCAACATCAAACTCGAGAAAGGATGCATTAATTGCTTAATTAATTTCAGCTGGTATTGATATTCTGGAAAATTCTACCAAAGCAGAATTATATGAGTTAGTAAAACAAAATAAAGCAAATATACCTTTTAAGTGTGTTAAGA